TAATTTGTTTTCTAGGAGATATGACCCTCCAAAGTAGACCCTCGAAAAAGGCTTCACTTGGAAATTTCGGATTTTGATACGGTTGCTCTAAAATTTGGGTTAGACCCATTTCCCACTCAATTTGACCCCCTAAACAAGAATATGAAGTCGGATTTTCGAAAAACAAAACGGATCTTTTTATATACAGCTAAACAAGTTTCCGATAACTTCCGAAGCACATTTTTAAGAACTTTTTGGGTCAAATTCAAATATAATCATTTCATTAAGTTCTCGACTCCAAACTCACATGTGAGGCTCTAGTTTCACTCTATCATTTTCCGGGTCGTTACAAAATAATGGCTTAATCTAGCCATATTGGTCAGATTAATTCAGATTCACGCTATTTTTATTTATTTAATATTTTTTTGCTTTTTGGAAGGATATTTTATGTAAAATTTGTGATGATGATATATAGGGTGAATATGTTGAAGAAGTTACAATAAACATTCAGAATGCAGAGCCCTCAGAAGATGACTGTATTGGGGTATTTTTGTTATAAAATATTCAGTAGAAAGACAGAGAATAACCAAAAATATGTATCGAGCAAGTGTGTTTTATTATACTGCTGCAAGCTCTCTTTATACAAGTGAGTTACAACGACTAAGTGCAGAAAAATGGAACCAACGTAACTGGTAGACTTAACAATTGCTAAACAGTTAAAAGATAAAATATTCTACTAAGTTACCTACTGACAAATCAACTCTAGAAACAGAACTACACCTACGAAATATAAATCTACTGCCAACAAGCTCCTATAAATTAGGATAGCAGCTAACAAAATCACTTATTTTAACATTTGTTCCCTTAAACTGATGTTCTCAAACATTCAGTTTAATTCTCAGAAGTCTGTTACACATAAGTACAAACTCCAAGCAATTTCCTAAGCTTCACAAATGATGCATGTTTGAGGGATTTTGTGAAAATGTCAGCGACATGATCTTCACTTCTGCAATAGACAAGATCAATTACTCCATCTTCAGTGAGATCTCTTAAAAATGAAACCTTACATCAATATGCTTGCTTCTCCCGTGAAATACTGGATTTCTGGACAACTTTATAGCAGAACTGTTGTCGCAATAAATTGTTGTTGCTTCTTGTTGCTTGAAATTCAGCTGAGTAAGAATATTTCTTAGCCAAATGGCTTGCGAGGCACATGCAGTAGCAGCAACAAACTCAGCTTCAGTTGTTGACAAAGTGACGATTGGCTGCTTCTTTGATGACCATGAGACTGCACATGAACTCAACATAAACACATAACCTGAAGTACTCTTCCGATCATCTAAATCTCCAGCATAATCACTATCAGAAAAGCCAATCAGTTCTGTATTTTCATCCTTCTTGTAGAACAACCCAAAGTCGACAGTACCTTTCAAGTATCGAAGGATCCTTTTTGCAGCCAAAAGATGCAATTCTTTTGGATTCTCCATGAATCTACTAATGAGACTTACAGCATGTGTGATGTCTGGCCTTGTTGCTGTCAAATACATCAGACTTCCCACAATTTGCTTGAAAAAAGTGTCATTGATCCTCTTTCCTCCAAGATCCTTTGTAAGCTTCAGGCCAACATCTGAAGGTGAAGTGACAAGATTGCAATTTCTCATTTGAAACCTGTCTAAAATTTCTCGCACATACTTCTTTTGAGAAATAAATATTCCTTCAACAGATTGCACTATTTCTATGCCAAGAAAGTAATGCGACATTCCAAGATCAGACATATCAAACTCAAGCATCATAGACCTTTTGAATTTTTCAAACATGACTCTATCATTACCCGTATAAATCAGATCATCTACGTATAAGCATACCAACAATATTTTCCCTCCATCTTCACACTTAGTATAAAGAGTATGTTCATATGGACATTTTTGAAAACCTTCCTTTTGAAAATAAGCATCGATACGACTATACCAAACTCTAGGTGATTGTTTTAGTCCGTATAGAGCCTTCTTCAATTTGCAAACTTTGTGCTCTTCATCAATCTTAACATAACCAGGAGGTTGTTCAATAAATACATGTTCTTGCAAGTCTCCATGTAGAAAAGCTGACTTCACATCCAATTGACAAATAGACCATGAATTTTGCGCAGACAATGCCATCACCAATCTGATTGTATCAAGTCTGACAACAGGAGCGAAAACCTCTCTGTAATCCACCCCAAATTCTTGTTTGTAGCCTTTAGCCACCAACCGTGCCTTGTACTTGTCAATCTCTCCATTCTCCTTCAGTTTAGTTTTATAGACCCATTTTACTCCAATCATTTTGTGTCCATCTGGTAGATCAGCAAGCTCCCATGTATCATTTTTTTCAATGGCTGCAATTTCATCATCCATTGCCTTACGCCATTTTTCATCTTTGACAGCACTTTCAAAATTTGTTGGATCACAATTTGAAAAGAGAGCAAAATGAGTGAGAGGATCTTCGGATTGATCAATTCCTTTTACCTCGTAATCTGTCATCCACGCTGGCCTTCTTTGAGCACGAGGGGCACGTGAATCATACGTGAATCAGCTATAGTTTCTCTCTGCTCATCCATAACATGTGATGTTTCAGAACTTCCAAGATTGCTATCTTGAGCATTTTCAGGGACTACTACTGCTGGAACTTGCTGTTGAGGCTGAATTGCTTCTTCACCATTTTCTCCATCAAGGCATATTGGAATTTGTTCTCCCATGGCATTTTTGTTCCACAACCAAAATTGATTTTCATCAAAGACGACATCTCGGCTAACTAATATTTTCTTAGTGTTAGGATTATAAAGCTTGTAAGCTTTTGATTGATCACTAACACCGAGAAAAATACATTTTTCTCCCTTGTCGTCTAGCTTCTTTCTCTTTTGATCAGGAATATGGGCATATGCAATGCACCCAAAGATTCTGAAGTGATCTACGGCTGGTCGTTGCCCGCTCCATGCTTCTTCCGGAGTCATGTATTTAACTGCAAATGTGGGGCATCTATTTAGGATATGAATAGATCAATTGACTGCTTCAGGCCAAAAGCTTCTTGAAACACCACTGCTTGTCAAAATACTCCGCACCATATTCATGATAGTGCGATTTTTTCTCTCACATACTCCATTTTGTTGGGGCGAGTAGGCTGCTGTAAGTTGCCTTTTGATTCCATGAATCTCACAGAAGTTTGCAAATTCATGTGAGTTATATTCTCCCCCACGATCTGAACGCAAAGCTTTTATTGGGCTACCGATCTCTTTTTCAACAAGCACTTTGAAGCTTTTAAAAGCTTCGAAAGCTTCAGATTTCACCTGCAGAAAGTATACCCAACTTTTCCGAGTAAAATCATCAATGAAGGTAATTATATAACTTTTACCTCCATTAGAAGATGGTGTTATTGGTCCGCAAATATCGGAATGGACAAGTTCTAGTGCCTTCTTTGCTCTCCATGAACCCCTTTGTGGAAAAGAGTTGCGAGACTGCTTGCTAACAACACATTCTTCACAAATTTCAGATGGAGCTAAAATTTGAGGAAGACCAATCACCATATTTTTCTGTTGCAAGGTCCTTAATCCAGCGAAATTAAGATGCCCAAAACGAAAATGCCACAACCAAGCCTCATCTCCTTGTTTTGTTAAGAAGCATGATTGTTGTATATTATTGAGATACAGAGGAAACATTCTGTTTGCAGTCATTTTAACTTGAGCAACTAAGCCTAAATTGTCATCTTGAATCCGACAAAATCCATTTTTAATGACAATCTCATATCCTTTCTCTTGCAACTGACCGAGACTCAAAAGATTTGATGTTAACTCTGGAACATAAAGGACATCAGAGATTATTTGAGAAATATCTCTTTTAGTTTGAATGGTTACCTGTCCTTTTCCCGTGACTGCAACTTTTGAATCGTTTCCGAACTTCACAGAATCCTGATATGACTCATCTAATATGGAGAAAGCTGACTTGTTTCCGCACATATGATTGCTGCAACCCGTGTCTAAGTACCATATATTCTGCTGAATTTCCTTCGTCGCTTGTTCTTTCTCTTGATAGGCCATTAACAGAGAGATCTCTTCTTCCTTTTCTGCAAAATTAGACTGCCGTCCACCATCTCTATTCAAGTTAGTTCTACATTCTGATTTATAATGGCCATACCTGTGACATCTGTAGCATTCAATCTTTGACTTGTCAACTGACTTTGGCTTATAATCACCTGAATTATTATGTTGTCAAAGCTTCTTCCCCTTCCTTGAGAATTTGAAGATTCTTCTTCAAATTTCTGGTGCGAGTGCCTCCCACCACCAGAATTGTTTCCTCTTCCTCTTCCACGACCACCACCTTTTGAAGAGTGATAGTTGGATGAGACTTGAAGAGCTTGTTCCTCGCTACTTTGTCGATTCATTTTCTGCTCATGAATAAATAGTGAACTCTGCAATTCATCAATTGAAAGTTCTATAGTATCTTTCGATTCCTCAATTGAACAAACAACATAGTTGAATTTTGATGTCATGGAGCGAAGAATCTTTTCAATAATGGTGACATCTTCCATTTTTTCACCATGAATCAGCATTTTATTTGCTATTGCCATAGTCCTTGAGAAGTAATCTAAAATTGATTCTCCCATCTTCATTTGTAATGTCTCAAAATCAGCTCGAAGTGTTTGCAATAATGCCCTTTTTGCCTTCGCCATTCCCTGATACTTCTTCTTCATGGAATCCCATATTTGTTTAGAAGTATCTTTGCAAAGAATAGTCTCCAATATTGAGCGATCAATAGCTTGGAAAAGATAATTCTTTGCCTTAAGATCTTTCAACCTTAGACTGTCCAACTCCGCCTTTTGTCCTTCCGACATGGCGGTACCAGCCACTGGCTCTTGCACGCCAGTACTAACAACTGGCCAGAATTCCTTGGACCTAAGGAAATTCTCCATCAGCATGCTCCAATGGTCGTAATGACCATCGAAGCGTGGAATAGCAGGCTGAACAAAATTCTCAGAGGCCATAGTTTTTGCTACTGCAATAGTACTGCAAAAAAAAACTCTCAATATACAGTACCAACACTTTTACTCGATATCAGAAACTCTCTTTCTAGCTCTGATACCAAATGTTATAAAATATTCAGTAGAAAGACAGAGAATAACCAAAAATATGTATCGAGCAAGTGTGTTTTATTATACTGCTGCAAGCTCTCTTTTATACAAGTGAGTTACAACGACTAAGTGCAGAAAAATAGGAACCAACGTAACTGGTAGCTTAACAATTGCTAAACAGTTAAAGATAAAATATTCTACTAAGTTACCTACTGCAAATCAAACTCTAGAAACAGAACTACACCTACAAAATAGAAATCTACTGCCAACAAGCTCCTATAAATTAGGATAGCAGCTAACAAAATCACTTATTTTAACAATTTTCTCATGCAGAGTTCAAGTAAATCTCTTAACACATTTGTATACTCCAATTATTTATTTATTTTCTTAAAAACTGATGGATAATTCATAATATTCTGTAAAATTTGATATACGAAGTACTTATATAAAACTTGTAATTATTGAGAGATGAGAAAGAATATTCTTTTTTGAATTTCACAAGGTATAATTCTTTTAATGGGTGCATTAGTAATGCTTGCATTAGTAGTGCTTGCATTAGTAATGCATGCATTAGTTATGCAAACATTATTTCTTGTACATTGTTTGGTTTGATGTATTTTGAAATAACAAATCTTGCATAATTTCTATTAAAAAATATATGTTTACAAAAATACCCTTCATACTTTATTTATATGTACACTTCCTTTGCAACAAAGTTCTTTGCTAAAACATCAAAAAAGATTTCTTTGTTAAAACATCATTAACTCTTTTTTTTTCAAAAATAATATTAAATAGTTGTACTATTGCGTCAAAATATTTTTGTGAAAAGTTGGCAAAAATTTTTTAAATCAAATTTATTGTCATAAGAGTAAACAATTTGATTAAATTATATTGAAATTAGATTTTAAAAAATAATAATCTTAAGAGGCCATAAAGCCTATTAAGACACCAACAAATTAAAAGACACTGAAAAGAAAATAAAAAAAAAACATATGACAACAAAGAAAATGAAAAGACTTTAAGGGTTTTGTAATTATTTAATCTATTGCAAGTGTTAAAATGCTATGTATTACTAATACCTAGAATTTCTTGGTATTAGTAATACACAATTTAATACACAATAGAATGTATAACTAATGCAAGCATTAGTTATACATTGCATGAAAAAGTGCACCAAACAAGGTACTACTAATACACACACCTAATGCATGCATTATATTTCCTAATACACTCTACCAAACGACCCCTAAGAGTGTCTTTGACCAAACTATCACATATCGTTAAAAAAAAAACAAGAAGTTCATTGTGATTTTTACGGCTGATAGATGGATGATTATACATTTGATTTGAATGTATCGCTGAAAAGAAAATTCAATTGATTCAATTTTCTCGAAATCAACGAGTAAATCTTAAGCCTATTATGTGTAAGGTTGAAAGATTGTTCTGATATATCCTCGTTTCAATAAAAGTGTACTGGCTCTATCTCTACAAGGTACAAATAAAGTTTACGTACACTACAATTTTTTCAACACTTATAAAATACATTAGGTATATTGTTGTAGTCTAACAAAAGTTACACTAGGTATGTTGTTGTAATCTGACACTTTAACTGAGAGAGTTTTGATAATAGCTCATTGAATATCAAGAGCCTGCGTTACATATATTTATAACAAGGATATAAGAATCCCAGATATACTACAAGTCCTAGTTATACATCAATACACTAGACAATCCTAAGAGTCCTAATTTGATAAATATAAGAGTCCTAATACGCCCCCTCAATCTGGACGAGATGTAGTGACGGACAAATTGTCACGTAAAAAACAAATTGAGAGGAGGACAAGCCTTTCGTAAAAATGTCAACAACTTGTAATCGCATCGGGACATATTTAACAAGAAGATCTCCTTGAGATACTTTGTCACGAACATAATGAAAGTCAACATCAATATGCTTGGAATGATCGTGGAACACTGGATTGCGACACATATATGTTGAACTGATGTTGTCACAAAATACACGAACTGGTTGACGAAGATATATTCCAAGCTCACAAAGAAGATTACGAATCCAAGTAGTCTCAGCAACTGTATAAGCAATTGCTCTGTATTCGGCCTCTGTAGATGACTTAGAAACAATTGGTTGCTTCTTGGCTCGCCAAGATATGAGGTTTGAGCCTAGGAACACCACATAGCCCGTCGTAGATCGACGAGTATCAGGACAACCAGCTCCATCAACATCAGAATAGGCTGTGACAATATAATTGGATGAAGAGGCAAGCAAAAATAAACCATATGCGGGTGTACCCTGCAAATATCTAAAAATACGCTTGACACAGTGCATGTGAGTAGTTCGGGGAGCTTGCATAAATTGAGAAACAATATTAACTGCATAGGCAATATCAGGACGAGTCATTGTCAAGTATTGAAATGCACCAACCATGCTCCTATACTCACTTGGGTCCGAAAGTAAGTTACCATCCTCAAGAGTTATACAAGTGCGAGAAGCATTATGAGTACGAACAGGCTTTCATGTATGCATATGAAACTTAAGAAGTAAATCAACAATGTATTTTTGTTGAGACAAATGAAGACCATATGAGGTGCGGACAGCATGAACACCAAGAAAATAATGAATGTTACCTAGATCTTTCATTGCAAACTGATGAGAAAGACGATCTATGAATTGAAGAAGAAGATCTGAATGACTACCAGTGAGAATATTATCATCAACATACAACAATAAGATAAGAATACCTAAAGAAGAACGATGAATAAACATAGGCGGATCAGTTTTACTATAAACGAAACCTTGGGTGAGAAGAAATGTACTAAAGTGATGAAACCAACCACGTGGTGCTTGCTTTAGGCCATAAATGGCTTTAGTTAATT